TCATTAGTAGATGGCATTCCATGTACATGTTCACAAATCTGACTTGTAGACGCACAGTCCCTTTGTATGTCCAGTTGGCCCAGAGCTGTCAAGTGCTCTCAAACAGTTAATCAATGAAGGGAGTTGGCCTAATAAAAAGCACCATCATGCTGAGGACGTCTTGCACCAAGACTAGCACTTCTGAAAAACGTTGGATTGTATTCTCAGATATTTCGATTCCCGATCTTTGACGGTGGGGCTCTCTGATTACATTTTTTTTTACCTGTTCTTGGGCTTCCTGTTTTTGTTTCCGAGTTGGGTCCATGGCTTTGACAATCCATCTCACTCCAAAGTAGGTGGACACCCCAAGCACGGCAAGCCGGAAGACAAGCCCAAAGATTTCACTTCTTGTCAGGGTCAGTTTGACACTCCGTGCTGCCTCCTCCCCGCCCGGCATCGCGAAGCAGGACACTTGACAGTAACGGCAAGAAACGTTCTCGTCGTGGGACAAATCTGCAACACAAGGGTGCGGGGGCAGCATTTCTTTGTATGATACAAATTAAGCACTCACTCTACGTATGTCTGTTTTGTGGTCTGAGTGAACATATTGGCACTTTGTCCATTGTTTTGATTGGTCAATCTGTATGATCTTTCAATTGCTTTGGGCGATTAGTCGATCTCAAAGTTTACTTCCTTTTCCCATGGAATAACCATTGAGATGATGAGGGGTCAAATGATGTAACGTTCAATGACCTTATTTTAAAGATGGCGACTGTGAAAGCGAGCCTGTGAGATTGAATGGGTGAAGGCAAGAAGACTGGAAAATACCAGAACATGAGTGAAATCATTCAATAAATAGCGCTAAGAAAGCGGAGAGGCTAAGGATCATCTCTGTGCCCACGATGATAAGTGGGCACAGAGTGAAATTTTTCAGTATGCTGAAATAAAATTGCGTATATGGATGCGTGGCTAAGGATGGAGCAGGAAGTGAGAGTCCGTGCCACACCAGTGTAGTGGGGCTAGTAGTAAGCAACTTGGTTTTCCTCTTCCTAAATTGAACATTTTCTGGACATGTTTTTGCTTCTGACGGCCAATAAGTCACTTTAGGCAATTACTGGTGTCAGTGTATGGAACTCTTCCCAAAGAGAGAACACCTGAAACGGTAAATTTGCGCAAGGACACAAGGGAATAGGGAATTCCCCGTTCGCGGTCGGTCTACGTACTGTGTCACTGATTACATACCTCATTAACTTCCATCAGAGCAAAGAACATCCCTGCTTTACTTCTAAAAACAGATGCAAGTTTAGCAGGGTTCAAAAACAGAAAACAGTTCAAATATGAAGATGTTTTCCGAAGGTATATTAAATTGATTGATTACTCTGTAGGCCTTACCTCCTTCGAAATGCGATACGACTTTACTCTGCAATTTCCACACACGTGTGTACGATACGAATGTGTATGAAGTCCGCTCGTCGCCAGAGGGCGCATTTAATCCTTGAAAAAGTTGGGCTGGAAAAATCGCGTAGTTAAGCGCCGATGATTGCGAAATACAGATACTGCCAAAGGTAATGGGTTTCGAGCTGCATTTGTGGGAATCGATACAGTAGTGGTAAAATTATAATTCATTGAACCTAAACGCGCGCCACCAAATCATGCAAGATAAGAAAAGATCAGATTCTCTATTTCATACCTGATTTCATATTTCTTGTACTTCACTTGATCTTTATCCTGAACTTATCGATTTCTCACTGACAATTATGGATGAAAGATATTAAGTATCGATTCTTGTTAATCAGAATCGCCAATTTATCCCCATTGGGCGCCAAAGCAACAACCCACTGCACGTTGGGTTTTAATTTTGCTACATGTGCTACTCAACACGTGTATTTCGAGCTAATTGGGCAACATCTGATCTGCATCAACTTAGTAAACTCCTTCAAGATGAGTTCCGCTGTTCCGAGTAAACTGTTTTCGTACATCTATGGTTTTCTGACGCAGAACAAGCTGTCAAAAACAGCAAAGGCTCTGCGGAAAGAGACGGGATCGGTAAGTCATGTAGGCCCTTACCTGAGCATGCTTAACTTTAGTGCGATTCCTCGATCATGTCGATGGCGTGATTGGCAATTGAATTTTGTCATTGTTTGTGCTGCATGACGACGTGATCACGATGGCCTGCCTGGGACTTAACAGACTTCTGTTCATGTTTTGGTCTTTGGTGACAGTCTTCAGGTTTGTCACCATTTTCTTAAAGAGTCATGGTATGTTGAGCTGGGCAAAGATTTTTAAACCTGTAGGCTGTACCCAATCGTTTTGTAAACTTGGATATTAATGCCTGGGCATGTTTTGTCATCAATGATAAAATGATTACAATTATTAAGTTATATGATTGCCAAATATAAATTATAAGTTTAAATCAATGCATGCCTGCTGTAAGATTTCCTCAAGTCATGTCAATTTTAGAACCGTAGCTTGCCCAATCTCTAAAATGTTGCTCTTTAGTTTGTGGATTTTGTTTTTAAACAATCAATGGAACTCAAATATTAGTGTGAACACATATTACAGGCATGTCAGAGAGTTAATATTTTTGACACTGCTGTGTTGATATGTTGTCAAAACTTGTGATTATTTTTCTTTCTTTCACTCTCAGCCAATATGTGCACCAAAATCAGAGGATCCCGACCTAATTCAGATCCTTAATACCTATGAGATGGCCTCTCCAACTGGGGCAGTCAAACGCAAAGCCAAGCCTGACGACACACCACCCACAGCCTCAAAGAAACAGCGCAAGGGTGAGGAAGCAGTTGTGAAAACACCTAAAGTAACTGCAAAGAAAGAAGACAAGATGCCTGCTAAACCAGCTGTGAAGACACCAGCACAAACAAAGAAAACACCTGCCAAAACATCAGAAACGGCAGCGGCCAAAAAATCAGCCCAAAAGGTGAAGATGCCGAGTCAGGCTCCTAAGAAGGTGAAAGCACTACCAGGGACAGGAACCAAGCGGAAGAAAGAGACCAGTAGTGAGAGTTCCAGCAGCAGCGAAAGCGAGGGCGAGAGCAAACAAGTCAAGAAGCCCCAGGCTAAGAAAGTGGCCGTGGGCAAAACAACACCACAGAAAGCTGCCAAGAAGCAGGTCAAGGCTGCATCCAGCAGCTCGGAATCTGAAAGCTCCAGCTCGGACGAGGATGAGAAGCCAACACTGGCAAAATGCACAAAGCCAGCTGCTAAGACTTCTGCTAAAGGGACGCCTTTGCAAAACGGTAATGGTAGTTCATGCAGCTCTGAGAGCGACAGCGAGGAGGAACAACCCAAAGCAGCCATAAAGAAGGAAACTCAGACTCCGAAGGGCAAAAAAGCGACTCTACCAGCACCAAAGAAACCAGAAAGCAGCAGTGATGACAGCTCGAGCTCAGACGACAGCGATGATGAACCAAAAAAGCCAGCCAGGAAGCCTTTGTCAACTCCCCAAACCCAGGCAAAGTCTCCCAAAGCACAGCCGGCCCCCAAAACCAAGACACAGTCCTCAAGTTCAGAGGAATCGAGCTCTGAAGAGTCCAGCTCTGAATCAGAAACAGAGAAGCTCTCAAAGCAGACTGCCGCAGTCAAACCAACAGCAAAGTCACCAGCGACAGCAAAATCACCAGCTAACACCCAAGCTAAAAAACAGGATTCATCAAGCTCTGAAGACTCTAGTTCTGAATCAGACAGTGAAGATGAAACGTTAAAACCTGCTGCTAAGCCAATACCTAAATCAGCACTTACACCTAGTAAAGTACAGGCTAAAACAGGAGCAGCTAAAATGCCTGCCAAGTCTTCAGCTAAAAAAGAGGATTCATCAAGCTCCGAAGACTCTAGTTCTGAATCAGACAGTGAAGATGAAACGTCAAAACCTGCTGCTAAGCCAATACCTAAATCAGCACTTACACCTAGTAAAGTACAGGCTAAAACAGGAGCAGCTAAAATGCCTGCCAAGTCTTCAGCTAAAAAAGAGGATTCATCGAGCTCCGAAGACTCTAGTTCTGAATCAGACAGTGAAGATGAAAAATTGAAAACTGTCTCTAAACCAGTTGCACAGTCAACACCAGCACCAAGTAAAGTACAAGCCAAAACAGCCAAAGAGTCCTCAAGCTCAGAGGGTTCAAGCTCCGAGTCGGAGAGTGATGAAGATGATATGCCCAAAAAGTCAGCAGGCAAACCAGCCCCCAAAGTAAATGCCAAACCGGCAGCTAAACAGGATTCCAAAGCGGCCCTGAAGGCTAAAGAGGTGTCGTCAAGCTCGGAAGACTCAAGTTCTGGATCTGATGAAGATGTCCCAAAGAAACCTACCTCAGTCAGCAAGCCATTAGCCCCAAAGCCATCAACCCAAGTAGCCAAGGCCAGGGAAGCTACCTCAAGTTCCGAAGACTCCAGCTCTGAGTCGGACTCGGACAGTGATGCAGGACCCAAGAAATCCGTTGCCCCTCCCTCAAAGGTTCAACCACCTAAATCTGCACAGGTTGCCAAGAAGAACACCCCGTCCAGTTCTGAGGAGAGTAGTGACAGTGATAGTTCAGAAGAAGAGGAAAGTCCCGCTAAAAAGAAGCCAGCTTTGGCAAAGCCAGCTGCGAAGTCCATGCCAGCCAAGCAGCCAGCAAAGCCCCCTGCTGCTAAGCCCCCAAAAGATTCCTCGAGCTCCGAGGATTCTAGTTCAGAGGATTCAAGCTCTGATAGTGAGTCGGAGGCCAAAAAGCCAGCTTCGACTACACCCAAAGCAATGCAGAGTTCTCAGAAGAAAACTTCAGAGGCACATAAGAAAGCAGCGAGCTCAAGTGATAGCTCAGAAGATTCAAGTTCCGACGAGGATGAGGGTGAATCCGAGACCAAGAAACAACTGACTACAAAACCAGCTCAGAATTCCAAACTGCAGGCTGCAAAAACACAGAAGGCAGCTGCAAGTTCAAGCAGCGACTCGGGCAGTTCCGATGACAGCTCTGATGATGACGCTGAGAACAAACCAACTGCCACACCACAAACTCCAAAAGCCTCTGCAAAAAAAGCAACACCGATGGCTGTCAATAGTAAAGGCGATTCCTCAAGCTCAGATGATACCTCAGGTTCGGATGATTCCAGCTCAGAAAGCGAAACTGAGACAAAGAAGATCACAGTGAGTCAGACAGAGCAGAAGGCTACCAATGGGAAGACCACACCCAAGCAGGCGTCAAAGACCAGCAAGAAAGACAGCAGCGAAAGCAGCTCTGACGAGTCGAGCTCAGAGAGCGAGAACGAGAAAATGGTGATGAAAAAAGTGTTGACAAAAGTGAGTATCACAAGAGGAAAAGTCGACGCATCACCAGAGAGCCTTTTTTACAAAACTGAGTCTTTTTTTTTTATGATTTTCACCCATGCCCTCTCAAGTTACAAATAGCCCTGTTGGGCAAAATCATAGTGAAAGGTCAAACTCAGGTCAAACAAGTGGCATGCCGGCATGCTCCTCCATGCATTTGTTCTATGATAGGATTCCCCGAGTAAGGTCAGTTTAAACTCCACGTTCCTTGTAACAAGCCCATAGTTGAGCCAAGCTTTTTAAAGAAATGATACAAGTTGGTGGACAGTGCTGCCCAAAAGGGTAAAAACCACGTCGGTAAAACCCTCTTGCAGAAAGCAATTCCTGACGGGTGACTTGTTCCCCGTACACTTCTCCACTCATGTTTTCCCGCCTGTAGAAGAGGCCTTCCAAATCATCCTCTTCCTCCTCGAGCGAGGACAGCGATGACGAAGATGACGACACCAAGCCAGTCAACCAGACCCTGCCGGCCAACACCGCACCGGCCCAGTCCAAGAAGAAACAGAGCCCTGCAACTCTGCCCAGAGCAGTGAGTTTACCGTTAATGTTTTCTTGCTTTTTGTACAAGTCTCAAACATCAGAGAAAAGTGGCGTGGGTGCTCTGAACGGTACTCCCTGGTGCGCTTCACATGGCGAAGGAATTGTCGGAAATTTTCCTGATCACATGGCTATACTATTTGTACCCAAATTCTTTCTCTGTGCCCCACTGTGCACCTGCATGTGCAATTATGAATTATTCCTTCCAACCTTTTGTGTATAATTTCAGGTTATTTCACGTTGCAAGACTCACCACATCTTTGTAGCTTGCCACTGACGAATTTTATGTTCAGAGCACCCCTTATGCATTTTATAAAGTTCCACTTTTTTCACACACCCAAGTGGATCCATAGGGGTTAAACATTTATACATGTAGGCATGCAATGAAGCCGGTGATCCTGACCTTTGAACTCTGTGCCTCTCAAGACTTCTCCCATCCAACCTTTGACCTTCAAGTGTGGTATTGTAATGGACTTGATAACGCCTACATTTTTGGTCAGTGTACTTACGTTGTGGTTCATTTTCTCACCCAATATAATTCTGTGCAGAAAAAATCTGAACCGTTCCGACGAGTCCGAGAAGAGGACCACCGGATTGACCCAAGACTGAAGGACAACTCTTTTGAGGCTAAGGTAGCGCATACAGATCTCCACTGAATATTTTACACTCCAGTGCTGGCAGGAGTAAAATCAAATTTCTGTGCTGCACTGAAAACAAGTTGAGCCCGTTGTTTCACGACACCTTTAGCGTAATCCACATCTGGGAATACGGACGTACTCACTTTTTCCAGTGCAGTAAGGAAAATCGTTAATGAACACTTCTGGCAATGACACTAAGGATTCCTCAAAAGCGGCCCGGGCGCCGTAGCTCGCCAGCCTGACGAAACCTGCAGAGAGGAGTCAATGAGAAGAAGTTAGTTTTTTAGAGGTGGGAGGGAAACCCCAGAGAATATTCTTTGTGAAATCCACAGAATTGTGTAGGGACTGGAAACCCAATCTGCACGTGGACCAGCCCGGGAACTCAAAACCCAAGCCGCAGAGGTGAAAGACTCACTACGCAAACCCAATTCCGCAAACGTGTCGGCATTTTTTAAGCACTTTGTATTTTGGCCATCAGTCACACCATTTATTGCATGTCTGCTCAGTGAAACCAGAAGTAGTCGTGAATGCTCCAAGCTGTATAATTCTACACTCGGAATGACTAAAGTTTTACTTACCTGTGAATGAACCTGTCTAGCTGTAAATGCTCTGTTCTTTTTGTTCCTTGTTTAATAGCGCTTTCAGCTACTCAAGCAGTTTGCACCAATAACTATACATTTATTCCTAACCTTTGTTAATTGGCATCACATTACGGAGTAAGGAAGATGGTCCAGTTTTAGGGGCAGGAGGAAACCGGAGTACCCGAAGAAAACCTGCGAGAGCGAGTATGGACTGGAAACCAAATGCACTTAAAGCCTGGGCCAAGCCTGGACTCAAACCCGAGCCTCATTGGTGCAAAGCGAGGAAAGAGCTGCTATACTAACCCCCCCTTCCCGTAAACGCTCTGTATACACTGGGTTTAAGTTGTCAGTTGTAAGGTCACGCTGTGAATAGATACATTTTCAATACTTTTTTTTCTTAAAATTCAGAAAGGTGCGAGAGGCTCGTGGGGCGACAAGGCCAACAAAGACCTGAAAGTAGTCCGGGGAAAGGCCTTCAGGCACGAGAAGACCAAGAAGAAGCGGGGCAGCTACAAAGGTGGACAGATCTCGACTGCCGTCAATTCCATCAAGTTTGACAGTGACTAGAATCCTTCCCTAGTCATCGGAAGTTTGTTCCCTTTCTTGAGCACCTTTTTTTTAAAAATCCACGCCAATGGAATCGGTAGTTTTGGTGCAGATTCTTTCTGCGAGACGGTGGCTTTCTTCGAGTTGAGGCATTTTTACCTCAGGATATTTCAAGTGAGGAATACATGACATTAGTAGATGTACGTATTAATTTATAATCCATCGCGTTATCTGGAGACAATTAGAAGCAATGATGTGATTGCTTGGGTCACATGCAAGCACTGTGTTCCGTTCAAACTGTCGGCGGGCTTACAACTTGCCACACTTTCAGAATACTCCTAGCTTGCATCCATGGGACTGCCTCAGACACATCTGATTGCGTTTGCGAGATTAGTCGGAAGCCATCTGGTCATGCTGTGAATGGCCATACACAAAAATTGACTCTGTAAAGTACGTCAGCAGTGAATGCTACATGTGTGTTGCTGACAGTTGACGGTGTTGGTAGTGCGAGTCGCCCAAGTCAACTTCAGATTGATTACTTGTGAACTTGCAACTTAATAGTTAGCTTTAGTTTTTTTGGTCAACAACTGAAAGTTAAAATATTTTTTGGTCAGATGGGGAACATGTCCATTGCAGAATTCCTTGAGTTTGTAAATAGTTGTGCGTATCATTTTGCACCTTATGACATTTTCTGGAGGCAGAAACATGCATCTGTAGATTAACTGGCCAGTAGAGATTTTCTCAGTTTTTCCCCATTATTTCTTTTCATTTAAAACTTTACGGAACTTGTGCGCTTTTTTTTTCTAAGTCATTTTCAATTGAGACGTGAAACATATTAATCATTCTCCAACTTTTAGGCAAAGCGTTTTGTGCTTTCATTTCAAGATGTTACATGTCCTATTCCTAGCAGTGCAAATTTTCATTGTAGAATTAAAATGGTTTTAAAACCCTGCCAACAATTCAGCTGACGAGCACGGGATGGATTTTATTTAAGTGAAGGCTCATTTTGTGGAAATTGAAAACATTTACATGTTGTAAGAAATTGTTTCTTACATTTGGAAGATGAAGCAGCAGGTAACGGAGTAGGGATCAATCATGTAATGAAATTCTTGAAATCTGTGAAATGCTGATGACGACATCTGATCATGCCGTGGTTGAGAGATTACAATACTTGGCTCCTGAAATTTAAAATTTCAGATTTGTAATTAAGAGTTGCTAGTTATGACTTTGAAGTTCATCTGCCATTGTGTTGTCCAAATAGTGTCTTGTCCTAAACAATCCTCACTCATACAAGTGATTATCCTATAGATGAATCCGATTCGACGTCACAACTGCAGTGGCGCTGCACTCGCACGCACATTTTTCAGCTTGACGTGAGCATGCACTTGGCAAATCACGACATCTTATTGGTCAAAGAGGCGCGCGTACCACCTGTCCACGAACGTTGCACCGCCGCAGTAATGGCTTCTAATTCTGGTTGTCGAATCACAGTATAAGTGCTCAGACACATCAGAAAATCAACCTCAAAGAAAGCAAACAGAAATTTTACCGGCGCCAGACGCAGACAACTTGTGACCAAAATAAACCTTTCTTCGTTTTTTAATTCTTCACAGGTGGCTGTGGTTTCTGGGCTTCATTAATACACCATCATTATGTACAGCACATCATAACGACAAGAACAGGGGGTCTGGGAGTTAGTGCACACATGTATAAATCAGTTATCATCACAGTGGGATCTGAAAGATTCAAGGGGCCTGACTTCTCGTGACGTCAGTAAGTTCACAAAATGGGTTCTCTCTATCAGATTACCCAAAATTCTGCCCATTGAGGTGGGTGAAACAAAAGGTGCCACGACAGTGTTGAGCGTAAGACACCGGTGCAGTTCTTAATTAGCAGCCTATTTACTACCCGAACAGGACTAAAATTAGAAATCAAAGTTTTGGACTAATCAGTTGCAGCACATGTTGCGGGTACTAGCAAACCTGTTATATGGATTTTCTTTTTCTCTGAAGTAGTCGTTTGAATGCTTAGCTACTGCTCTTTCTGACCCAGGCTCTTGCCATGGCGCTGTTGGGTAATCTGCGGTCACTCTATCTCAATGAAATAGTTCTACCACAGTTCCTGGCCATAACCAACCAACTTCTGCCCACCTCCAGCTCTCGATTTTTAATGGTGTTGGCACACTGGATCCTTCAGTGAGAAAACCCTGCTATGTACATGTGCAACCTCCTTACTGATGGATCCAGTGACCATGGCAACGCTGTCACTGGTAATTTACAGTGGTCCCAGCAAATTGTGGTAAGCATCGTGATAACTACTGTACGGAATCGCTCTGCACAGAAAACAATACAATGTTTCAACAGCCACCAAAGGGGGCCACGGGAAATGTCTAGTGAAGCGTCACTGGAATCCTCTACAGATTTGCCAACCACTGGTCCAATCAATTTAAACCCACCTGTCAAGGTGGCAGCCACAATCTATAACCATGCCTATTTTGCCCCTTGGTATGCCCTTATGTGACACTGACCACCGTAGCGGCTAGCCCAATGACCTTGTTATCCAAACACTCTTTTCGTTAATACTATGACTTATCCTCATTTACGTTGAACTTGGGGAGAATTTTCAGTGCAAATTTGCTCCGAAGCTCTGTTTTATGCAAAACTGACCATGCTGGCTCATTCAGAGGATGTTCAGTCATATGATGTTTGACGGTCGGTGTTCAATCTACACACGTGCACAGAAATGCACGCCATTGAAGTCTCTCAACATTCTTGCGTACATGAAATAATAGAAATAAGCAGATTTGAAAATGCACGTGCCTCCATGGATGTGGTACGCTTGTTACATTACGTCACGTGAAATACCTCTGTAAGTGGAACCAATAAGTTGAACTTTGGGAATGTTGGATTACTACTTTACCAGCGATCATCCCTTCTAATTACCATACCTCATACATATTCATGATCTTCCAAGGCACTCTTGTTGGCTATTTTATACCATTACCATCTGCCTACTGTTTCAAATACACAATGGGTATACCGCGTGTTTAACAAGTAGTGAACCAGATACGATCCAGTGTATTTCTTATGGTCTTGTTAAGTCCAGAAAGCTGATAAATGCCACCATTCACTCCCAACACAGACGCTGGGCAATTATAAAATAGCCAATCTCCAACCGTGTCGTAGGGGTGCAACAGCACCAGAGATACTAACACAACCCTGGCAATGCAGGGAAAAATATATATCTATATATCTCTCTTGAGCCAAACTTAGCAGTGTGAACAATTTCAACGTTAGACCTGCAACAAAATCTTGGCATATTCGACATGATACGTACGAATAAAGCATTCAGCAGCACAGTGCTAGCTCCATAATTATGAAGTATGTAGTCCTATGTCAAATTACACCCTTTGGTACATTTGAAATGAGCAGCCCTCTGATGCAGGACTGCATTGCTCACGGGGGGGGGGGCATTTCAAGTGGATCTGTCGGTTCACTGACACCAGAACCCGCCAAATGGACAGCGTGAACCCAGCCCTGGGATCACTGATCGCAATCCAGATCCATGTGAAACAAACAAGCCCATAGCCATTCGTGTACACCAACATCTATGGATCAATAATAAGAATTTTCAAAACACCAGATTTACAAAATGACGAAGTATCTTCAGTTTACCCAAATAAGTGTTTTTTGGGGGGGTGGGGCAAATAAAATGCCATGGATAACATCACTTATCTGTGACACAAATACGTGATGAACGTCCTAGTCCACTGTCATGTTTAACACAACTTAGCAAAATTGGACATTGTAACACTTTCTTGTGACTTTGATATGCTACAAGTGCATCATCAAACTGCGTAGAGTTAACCCCCCCCCAAAAAAAAACAAGGTCATGAAATTGGGCTTCAAAAATATTGCCTAAACAGACTGAGTGTTTATGCAAATCAACTTAACGTGCCTTCTATGAAACAAACTTCTGAGTGTGATACAGTTGCTGCAAAAAAAAAAACAAAACAACACTTTGGGGGAGGAGAATTCAGGCATTTACCCTGATACAGATTAAACTTACAACTGTACGATCTTCTGTTAAGTACCTTGCTCAAATATTTTGATACACTTGCGGTAAAATATAGAAAAAAGAAGGTCGCAAATTTAAGCGATAAATACATAATTTAAGTCATACTATTTTAGTGGTCATGACATCAGTCCTGGACTGGTGTAAGGTTTGGCTGTAACTCCAGAGTTGCTCTGTCAAAGTTGTACTTTTTTTTACGCTAACTTGGTCACATTGCTTTCACACAAACACTGACACCAAGCCTTACCATACAAACCAACCCAAATAACATACAAACTTTGTGTTACACAATCTGCAATAAAAAGAAAGCTTAAGTCCTAACATTTCAGAAAAATACTGAAAAACATGGGCGTTGGTTTTTTTTTGTCTTTTGTTTTGGTCAACCACAGTCTATATATAACCTTTGGAGTGTTCACCCCCATATAATGTGCCTACAGTGTTTATGTACATAATTATACATATATTCTATGTTACAGATATCCCACACAAACTACACTGCAGTGTCCTCCTTGTTTGTACATCAGATTACTAGACTATATCTTGCTCCACAAGTGTAAAAGGTGCAGTGGACGAATATGTGGCAAAATGTACTTTTATACTTCAATTTTCCTCCAAAAATACATCTATATCCACTCTAATCGACGTGTCTAACAACTACACATCAACTGCGTAAAGTCAAAATCTTTTGAGACTAAAAAAAAAAAAAAAAGACAAAATGTACAATAGTAACTTGTAATTATGAGGGGATTGCAACGTGAACAGTATCAACCTAGTCCCTGATGGTATTTGTTTTTCCCCTGTAGGTATAGTCTGGGGACTAACAACCAGACGTGTGAAGTCTATAGATCACGTTCAGTGAAGGAATGGTATCCGGCTTACGGTAATCGCGATCGTGATCAATGCATGTCTGTCTTTGATACCACACAATCGAGGCTTTGCACCTTTTTTTTCTTTTTTTCTCTCTCTCTACTGAACATGACTTGATGGACATCTCTAGAACTGTGAGCAAGGTCGAGTTATTTTACAAAGGCAGAGTTACGAACTTTACTACAGTCTCACTGCCACCTCGGGAACAACGAACACTGTGCTCCAGGAAGCCTGAACGACCTCAACGTCCACTGACCTGGGCACTCACAGACTGGTACCTGAGCACTGATTGCCAAGGAAGCTAGCCAGAATAATGGCCAAGTCCATGTGCCAACCAGTGTTCAGAAAAAAAAATGTTGAGAGATGGAAGCTTAGTTTGGACATTAGCTGGGACGATACATTACAGGAGTGGTTCCTGAAGTGAACGTTAATCTTGACCTCCAACGGATCTACACAGCACCAATTCTGCCCATTATTCACGGGTCACACAGTACTGACCATGAACAGCACCTGACTGGGGGTAGGGTTGGGATGGACCCCCCCCTGTGAATCCCTTTGTGCCTACCAGCTGTACTAATCTTTATACAACCTGATAAAGTACAATGCGGTGATACGACTACAGGTGTGGTCCTACTTTTCTCCTTTTAGGCAGAGTATTTTCAGCTGAAGTCCTGTTACAGAGTCAGCCTTTTCCACATTCTGCAACGTCCGCATAGTGAGTATGCAGGCCGTCTGCAAAAAAAGCTAGTTAAAACTGTCACAGAGTCTGCCTGTCAAATTCAGTTGATCGCTTACATTTCTAGAGTGTGTCTCAATCTGGATGTACTTATGGACCAAAAATGTCCAGGACAGTTCTAAAGAGAATGGGTCGATTCTGTAAATTTTCAAAATTTCATTTGTTTAATTTTCAAGAATTCCATTTCCACAGAATTTTTTTTCTCTCGAGGGGTTAATGATTTAGAGATAAAAATGTAACAACCGTGAAATTTCAGGTAAATTGGAGTGATGGGGTCCATATTCAACCAACCAAACATCCACTAAACCTGCACCCGACACCAACTCCCCAGTAGCAGGTAGCAAGCCATGTATTCAACTCGCCACGGACATGCTTGAAGATTTCCAATGGGGCAGTCTACATACGTCCGCTCCCTTTCCCTACATGGATCGCACTACAAAAAACCCCCAAAACAGTCAAACAACCAACGTAACCCTGTTCCAGAGGACACACTCCACTGTAAAATTTAACGCCCCTTTGGGTATGTCTGGTGCAGCAGATACATCACTGGTATCCTCAAATTTCATAACACAAGTACTTGCTACGATGGAAGGAAGTGTTGGTGAATTTATAAAACCCCCAGAGAACTACTCAGTTCACAAATGACTATACTCGTTACTGACACTGTTTACTGTTTTCCTTTTCCTCAATAATGTAAAAACACACTTATAATAACAATGGTGATACTTAAAATCCTTTGGCAATTTGTTGCTAGTTTCTCTTGTCTTAATTCTCAACTCGTACACCTGTGCTCCTCTCGGCCATGACACAGTACGACTTTTTTTTGTATTAAGCTCCTTTTACGTGTTCACATGTACATTCCCTGACGTGTTTTTGGTGGGGACACAAATCCAGTGCAATTTCCACAGTTTCCCCACGCCGCTGTGAACACCCGTCCCTTCCTCTGCGCAAGAGATATTGGGCACGGCCTTGCCGTGGAACGTTGGGAGGACAGAAACTAGCGTCGTGAAACCCTGTTTTCGGTCAAGGTTGGCGGGGGGGGGGCTGTTCAGTACAACTTCTGTATGCATCCTTGACCCCAGCCATGTTATGCAGTTTAAAACCAGAAAAAAAGTATAGTTCACAAAGCACTGTGCGGTAATGCTTTTTTTCCCCTTTTACTTTTTTTGAGGGGTGGAGGTTGTGGAATTTGAACTTTGACCTCTTTGCCCCTCTGAACCGCTGACTGTAGACAAAATGGAGAAAATGTGGTAACTGCACGCTCGGGTTTATGTCCTCCATTCAGCATTAATTTAGTTTTACATAAGTATTCACATGCAACAATAAACTCCTTTTAAAATATAAAAAACTAGGGCTTAAGGTGCAAGAAATGTACATTTTCCTCTATGAACAAGTGTCTAACATACTAATTTCTGTTTCAATATGGTAGAGGCTTTCATATGCTATATCACGACCATTGCATTGCAGGGTGCACAGTGGTTAAAGTAACGAGCCTTCTAATTGGAGAAGAGCTGAGCAGGGAAGCCTTGTGAACCAATGACATTCCCTGTGGCACACACAGACACACGCACATAGATTTTGGTCAGAACTCGCCTTCATATGAGGAGATTAGTGGCGTAGATGAGTCCATCACAAGTCCAGTCACAGATTTCTTCACAAGACTGGTCACGAGTAACAGGAGGAACACTGACAAAAGAATACTTTTGTCAAAGTAATTTAAATATCTTGTGAACTGGCTCAAGACCGAATGACTTGTGATGGACTTACGAAGATTTACAGGGACCTGTGATGGACTTACAGGGGCTTGCGATGGGCACGGCTACAACACTGGCGTGGACCTCCTCCAATAAAGGTTGCCTACGTGCTAGAGCAGTTCATTATCGATCATAACGTCTTGGAAAAGGACTAGGCAACCCATGTCCTTTACTTGAGCAGTCCACATAAATTTGACATGACAATGATACAGACATGCTCTGTACTTCAAGTTGAGGATTGAAAGTGAGGTCCTCAGACAGTTCTCCAAAGAAACATGCCGTACTTGGAATTTTGAAAGGACACTTTTCTTTTATTGTAAGTCAGGGCCGCAGAGCTTGATTTCAAATCTGTGTAAAATCCAAGACTTCTTTGAAAACTGGTAGAAGAGAAAAAGTATCTCCAGGGTCAAAGTCTTTCCTACGCAACTGCAGTATGTTTCTCCAGTTTGTGGACCTGGATCAGTGCGATAGCTCTGTCCATTGCCCAAATGTGAAACCAGGAATTCATTACAAAAAGACAAGAAGTTCCAAAAACTGTGATATATTTTTTTTCCCAGAAATAAAAACGATTCAAGGAGATTTGCACACCTGCTTGCCAAGCTTGGGACCCACTCATACCGAAAGTCTCACTGATTAAAAATAAGTTGAAAAAAAAGGTGGTTAAACTTTTCAGAAGTAATACAAGGTCAAGACTGATGAAGCTATCATCATCTGACTGAGGTTGCCAAAGGGAAGGCCAACGTCCAAAACGGCTATGTCTGAAATGGGTGTACTGTTAAAAAAAGAAAGAAGGAATGCCATCCCTCCTGGAAACTGCAGAATTAGTTATGGCTAGTGTGTGCGCGCGCTATTACCTTGCATACCTAGCGTGGACTTGTGAAAAAAAGATGTCCACATGATGCAGGAAGGGAAGACGTTCTGTGGACATACCCATGTTCACAGAACGTTTCCTCTTCTCTGAAAAAGACATTTAGAGGCATTTTGGGGTTAGGTTTATATGCCATAAATGGAAGAGGAACAGTCACGGGAACCTTTTACAAAACATCTGCAGAAAACAGTGTTCCCAGTTCAAGAAAATGAGTATTTTCACTTAATTTTCTTAACCACTTGCTGCCGGGAGGAATTTGAAGTTGCATGGCATAAAACCGGGATATTTTCAGTTGTCAAAATTCTTTAAAAAAAATCATAACTTCATTTACTGGACGTTTACACCCACACGAATGACTGTCTGGTGGCTACTCTAATCTGACAGACAATAACTATTGATGCCCGAGTATTTCAGCCAGGTTTGCCGTTTGGTAAAAAGAGCCCAGATTGTGCAGTGTTACGGAAGTTTTTTTGTTCCCCAAACTGGCACAGTGTGCCGCTGGCATCTTTTTTACAGAAGCCAGATTAGCATGCAGTGGTATTGTATTGCTCATCACTGGGATGCTGGAGCGTTTTGTCCCCGGTGGTAATCCGCTCGTGCTGAATACCACGAACAGTGGTATAATCTTTCAAAACAACGATGGATTTCCTCCTCTTTTGACAACTGAAAAAATGTTAACAATTCCCAGCAGCTCGGACTTATGTTTCGAGTACGGTCTTTTGTTATAAGGCCTAGCTCTTCTGTCTGGTTTCGGGCTCCCCGGTTTCGTGTATAAAGCCCACGTGCACGAAACCAGGCTCCCCGGCAGCATATGGTTAACTGCCTCAAAACAAAGGAATGTCCACACTGAGTATGTAACGTATGTGCATGTGCCTGCAGCATGGGTGCATGTATAACGGGAGAAAGGGGAGGGGGGGGGAAGTGTGAAGAGAACAGGGAGAGTAGAGTCACAGAAGCTAACAGCTGCTTCAAATTCAATTATTAAAGTACTGTATCATGATATAGATATAAACATTTACAAACAATAGCAATCCTTTCTGTGCCTGTCCAAATACCAGCTCTGCTGCTTCTCCTTACTGATCTGAGAAAAATGTGATTGACTGACGTCTTTCAACGCGGCCCGCTGCCTCCCTGAGGGCGCTAGACAACTCTGAAGCCACTGTCCAGATTACAATACGCTCAGAGACAGTGCACTGACATCAGAATGACCTTTTTTCCCTGTAGGGACCTCTGTCGTGGTCCCAAACAATACCACTTCCCTCTTGGCCAACCGGATCGGTTCCCAGCCCACACAATCCACGGGCCACATCGAGGCCGCAATGAGATTGTGGCTGGCACTCATCAGCTCCGACTGAGCAGTCTGGCGCCCTCACAGAGGAACCCAGGCAGCACACAACGTCTCATACACAAAATGCAGGAGGGTGAACAGATGGTGGAATTTTTTTTTTTTCTTTTCACACGGAGAAGGTCGGGCACCAAGCCTAGGAGGCGGCGGGGGGCCGTCATCATACGTATGTCACCGTGCCATCCTCCCAGTCCTCGCAAGCCTCGTCTTCGGACTCCCACGACTCAGTCTCCAGTAGGTCGTTGGAGCTGCCGCAGGGGCTCATACTATCCTCCAAGTTCGGGGATCGCTTGTCCATGTCGCCGTTGTTGCCCCGCGTGAAATATAACCTGATCTGTGAGAGAAAAATCTATGAGTCAATATCACACTAGTTTCCAAAGCCTACTCAGTCAACAAGTGCTGGTTGGAAAATCTACACATGGTGTTGTTGTGGAAGGAAACCAACAAGCTAAACATAAAAACGTTCAGAGAACTACCAACAGGTCCAAGAAAACGAGAATTGAAGACCATAAAAAGATGGATACAGTACATGCCAACTTACACTAACAGGTAGACAAATGAAACAAGGACTTTTGACATGACACTTGATCTCTATGTGACAACAGGTAAGAACCTCCTAGCTGGCCTCTGGTGGACAGCAAAGCATTTAGCCACTCCTGGTCGGTTCATGATTTTTGAAGGGGACCTGTTTCACCCTAGGCACCTGTTGAATAGGATCGCGTACATTCCTTGCACTGACGAGAGGGAGGGGGGTGGCAAAAGTTGGCTGTGAAAGTGTTTACAAGGTATGGTAATTCCTAATTCGGGGCTTTGTGTGATTGCCACACAATGGAATACCACAGTGATGATCTTTTCCCACAATGTATGCCCTGTGATTGGAGCCTTCTAACAATGGTTTACCAGAATTGTAAATCTCTCCTTTTGGCCTAACACTATGTGTGATTAAAAAAAATCCATTTGTGTGCAGTCCACGTCTGCCGACTGTCGACAAACTAACTTCAACTCAAACCAACTGGAATCTCAGTAGTTCACACTGAGCTCCTGGAAGTTAAGGTTAACTGAACAAATGTACAAACTGATGAATAAACCCAGTAAAATGGCCTGTGAAAAGTTACAGTAATAGTTGAGAGTTAGTTAGAGTTTAATTATAATTGAAATGTTCTTAAAAAATATCCAGAATGTGAAAGTTGTTTTGATTAATAAATAGGAGAAAACAAAACACAAAAAAATGGTGAAATAGCCCAGCCCCCGAGAGGTATCTCATTAACATGGAAAATATGCATATCTGTGACATACATTTGAGAAGACATCGTCGGGTGCCGCTTGCCGGTCAATGCTCATCTTGGGTTGAAGACGTAAAACAGTGCCATTCACAGACACACACAGAGAAGGTACACTTAACACAAATCTTCATGGAACAGGTGCCAAACACAGTTGACACCTAAGCACCCCAAAGACCCCACGCAGTCACGTCTTGACACTTGTTGGTTCCAACAAGCAGCCTCGAGCTGAAATGATGCACCCGGCATCGCCCAGCCCCCTTTTACCTTGAGGTTCGGTGAGTACAGCTTGTTGGTCTTGTCCTTGTAGGCCTTGTCCAGCGCGTCCTTGTTCAGGCCCATGACCAGCTCCTCGCCCCCATTGGCCACCGGGATAACCTCCGTGTTGCAGGTGGCCGAGCCAGGCCGGCCCTGCTCCGTGATGGGGTGGATCACGAAGAAAGTGTTGAACCAGAAGTGGAACATGGACTTCTTGTCCTGGAGGTGCCGATGATAAAGGAAAAAGGAAAAAAAAAAAGGGAGATGGTGGCTAATTACTCGGGAAGATGACAAAACCTCAGAACAGCTTCTGCCGCATTTGCTCAAACAAAATGGAGTCGCAATTCACTGTATTCAAAGCAGAGACTCCGTTTTCGGGTGTGGCAGTTCTGATAGGCCATAGCACATTGCTGGGCTTTTTTCAACCCCCCTAGGGTGTATGTAAAACCACACTTGAGATTGGAGGATTGAGGACTGTTGGGGCTGAAGTCCAGTTTATGTGCTGTCTGTGCTCCTAACCTGCTTTTTTTGTTTTTGCAGGTGAGATGTTTGATTGCCCGCTTGTTCTGTCTATCATGTTTGACCACAGCTGGCAGGATTGGGTGGTGTACCAAAACAATAAACCCCTAAACCCAGATAATGCCCCCCATAAAGAAACTACTCCGTAGCAGGGAATAAAGTTTCTCAAACAAATGCTCAGAAATACCACAACTCGCTTCAACGGCTTGACACCCCATCTCTGCAACTGAAACAATTCAGAGTAGCGGTCCAACTGTAATGGTTTTGGTCTGGGTTTTTTTGCTTTCCTTTTACTTTTAGTTTTTTCTTTTCAACCTTCAAAATAAGGACTCGACTCACGAGCATGGATGGTTTGTGGAAGAACTCAACCTTGACGTCGCCGCAGATGGGCACCGTAGTGGGAATGTCAAACTCAATGATCCTCTCGCCTCTCTTGATCCCCTGGGCAGATCAACCAAATCAAAATCCATTTTAATAAAATCATAACGGGTTGATCAAATTTAAGAATTCATTAAATTGAAGACAAAAGTCTGGTTCCTGCCGCATGTAAGAAGGAAGGACGGAAAAAAGACCGCTCTGATTTGTGATGTCTGTTTCCAATGGAAATATTGCAAAGAGAATACATATCCAGAAACACAATGAAAGACAGCCTATTTTCAAGTGCTGATAATTCGGCATCCGAGAGAAAAGTCACTTTCAGAGTCGAAACCCTGAAATCTCTCAAATCTGAACACAAACATAGCGTCCACACTCCTGGCGATCCGTACTTTAAGTCATTACCCTCTGAATTTTGCCCCACAGTTTTTTTGGTCTACGGTACCACAATCACCGAGTAAACAGCAGTAACATATGAAGGTTTACTGTTCCATGACAGGTTTTCACACTGAAAACTAATAATTTTGTGCAAATATGAATTCTGCTAAAAATGACAGACACCTTTTGGGTTACTCCGCCCACACTTTAAAAACTTCTCAGGCTATGACTACTGAGGGCGCTGTTTACTCTGATGCCACTTCAGGCACACGCACCTATTTGGGGGTTAAACCATACAAATTATGGACACCCAGTGTAGCAGACTGAAAATGTATGAGCAAAAAGTTTACTAAATGACAAGCTGTCACATACTGAGGGAGAAAAATTAACATGACAACTTGACCATGGCAACCGGTAAGCGCGAAGCTTTTGTAACCACTGAACATTCTGCAGAGGACATCACTGCACGATGCTGTCTTGACTTTGCAAATTTTCACCGACAAGCCTGTGAAGTCTTTCATTTTTACGTACATAAAAATTTTATCAAAAGATTGTTCATGTGATGCCAAAAAAGGAGTAAAAAACAGAATTTGCGACTCATGAATGGACGGTCACAGGTCTAGCAACTGCCCGACAGGCCAACTTTTTAAGACTTCAAGCTATCCAACGCCCAATACAGAGAAGCATCTACTCTAGGTTATCATGATAGATCAATAGTTCTCCACACCTTGCTAGCAATGAACAGCTGTCACACATGTTCAAAAAACTTGAATTTCACAACTTAAGCAGTGCCTTTCAATTGCTGTTAATGAAATGATTACCAGCCCCTCGCATCCTGGAGTTCAACAAGGTGTCACAGAGGATGAGCCGTGTCAAATTAACTCGACCAGGAAATGAAATTACGGAAAACAAAGGCCTGGCCAGCCTCTTCGGCCGAATGAATTAACGACCCTGCATTGGTCAGGTCCTCTTCCTTCCTGAGTATAATTAGATGACTGGGGACAAGTCTAAAACCTCCTCCGCCAACCCGCCCACCATCCACGAGGAGACAGTTCCCACCCTACAGAAAACCCACAACTTCCTGTCAAGCTCCTGCTCACTTCCAGCAGGCAGGCTGGGGAATTTGGAATAAGCACTTCAATTTTTCAGAATACGACAACCCTGCCTCCAGGTAATTAAAAAAAAAAAGAATTTTTTTTTTCTTCTCTTGAGGCCTGTCGTCCTGTTTCCTTGAGTCACTAATGCCATTTCCTCTTCAGCCCCTCCCCCCCAAAAATATCATGGAATTGCCAAATCATGTTACATAACTGTCTTAAATGTCCTTCGACATGCAAGGACTTCAAAGAAGGGGGAAAATATAAACCAGCTGGGATTTGGACCCACAATGCCCCATTAATCACATGCCGACAGCCACTAGGTAATGAAAGATATTTTTCTTATGTGATACTTAACAATTGTTGACCACTGTGGTGTGGGATATGGCATTTTGAACACCTGATCACATGACAGAGCGATATATCCACACATCACACTAACCGTGTGGCACCTCATTCTGCCGATAGCATGTGCATGCGCATGAGACAGAAGAGCTTCGGGTAGAGCGACCGTTGCCGTTCATTGATTAAGTTCTGAGTGGTACCCATGATACATTTTGTGCATAGGTTACCAGGGAATTTGATCAATGGTCGCGCTTGTGTAATGGACTCGTTCCCATCCCCGCAGCGTATAAGGTAATTCAGGGACCACTATACCAGACAACATGACATGTGAACTGTGACATGCTCAAAAACGTCATATCCCACATCACAGCAGTCAACGATTGTTGAGAGGCAGACAACTCGAACCGTCGACTGTTTTGAACAACCTATGGGAAGTGACACTTTCTTGTTTCAAGCGCATGTATCTAATTGCACATTTAAGGTACCGATCTCAAGAACTACAGTTTGTGGGGGGGTGTCCCTTGATCATGTTCGAAATCAAAGCAAACTGACCAGAAACACTGATTAGCCATTTCTACCGACAATCAACCGGCTACTGACCACCAACAGCCACATGATGTCACGTTATCCTGATGAGCTGAAGTATTCTGTAAATTTGCAAAGTATCACCGCTGCAGCTGGAGATGCATGTATGAAGAGGGAACAGCCAAGTGCTGTTTTTTTTTTCTCCTCCAAAAGCTCCACAGGTTGACTGTAGCGCACTCTACAATTCGACGAGCACGACAGGTTTGGGTGTCACAACAGTCAACAGATTACCGCAAGCGGAGATGGGGCAATGACTGACAAATCTCCTGGCGAGCAGGCTTTCTGGACTGCAGGCTAAAGCCTGATTAAATTTCCAAACAGTATTTCCCTGACAATCATGAGCTGATTTCATTTTGTCCAAGCAGAGATGAGCTTGACCAGCAGTCGAGAGGTTGTTGGCGAAAAGGTGTTGTCAGTTGTGGCCAATTCCCTCCTGATTTCCGCTCAGCGAGGACATTAAAAGCTCTGCTTTTGTCAAAAGCAGAGCATATCTGTGTCTATAAAAACAAAACTACTTTACTTCTTGGCCTTCGCAGAGCAACAAAACAAAACAAAATTGGCACAAACAACTTTTGCTGAATAAAAACAGTCTGTCAGCAGAAATGTCAGGAGACGCGCAGTTTCAACACCACAGCTTTGGTAAATATTGGCCTCACGGATTTGAACCATTGTGGCGACATCACTTGACACGCGATGAAATCATCGTCAAGTACTGCTTCACAGACCTTCTACGCTATCCAGCCTTTAATTCGGCCAAATCTGATGATGATCCCAGCTTTAGAAGAAACCCCAATATATGGCTGTCCTGCGAGCACAGCAGATTATACACACACCCTCCCCCCCAAAAAAAAACTGACAAATGAAACCTGCACAAAGAAACGGGTATTGAGCAGAGAATGTAGTAGCAAATTCCTTCATAAAGCAAAGCTCAGCAGGGACCTGGACGCAGGCAGTTTGCAACAGGGTGATTGTAAACACTCTTACTGGCTCTGTGCCAGATTTGCGCCAGGCCATGCGGGGCTTACCCCGGGAAAACTAGGTGAGGATGCTGTGATGATGGATTTGATGGTTTTTCGATCCCCAATAACTCAAACACTGTCACTAGATTGAACGGAGGTTACAATGTTTTACCAACATGGACTTACAGACAAGCTGAAGCTAAGTTAACCAAAGCAATGGATATTAGAAATCAACTTTTACTGTAAGTTTGGCACCTACGGGTGGGGGATAAATAATGTACACAATGTACACCACAAAACTGAGAAAGTTTCGGAGTACACAACATGAATTGCTCTCACATGAAAGGTTCCAAGAAGAGTCATTTGATTTGGCTGAAATGCCTTGCCCATCATCAAGCTTGTATATGTACGTTAACATTAGAAATAACTTCTCGGAACTGCTTCCCTTTTTTGAAAAGTTAGGCCCATGCCGTATCTACAAAATAAATTCCACATCGGCACTCTCCCACCCGGACGAGTGGCCCCAAACACCACCCTCGTCGGGTGCATCACCTTGACAACTTCTGACGTGTAGACTTTGACCTTCTGCTTGTAGACGACAAAGTAGGGGCAGCAGGAGCCGTTGCTCATCATGGGCACCGTCTCCAGCTGCACTCTCTGCAGCAGCAGCGTGACCGTCTCGTAGGTGAGCTTGTTCCGGATGATCTCCCCGTAGTACTGTACATAGCGCCTCTGGCTTGGAATGGTGACGCCCTGCCAAACAAGGAAGCAAACAACAAGGCACGTTCAAACAACCACCCAGAGAGAGAGGAACAGTTATTAAGCTTTGAAGCGCAAATAATAATTTCCCTCTCTGTCGTTTTCGTATTGAAAAAAGCTGAAGTACCAAACGGTCGACATAAAAAGGAAGTGCTTCCAGGGTGGGGAAGTTTTGGAGGGAAAAAAAAATTCAGTGCGGTATAAAGCAGCCAGAGGTCCTCTAAGCTGACGACACCAAAATGAGATGTTAAGAGAAATGGGGGAGAACAGTCGAAAAAAAGAAGAAAAGACAGTAAACAGGAGAAAAGATTAATGCTGTGGAAAATGGATGAAGTGGTGTGTGGGATGAAGAGCAAATCCACACTGCACTGGCTGGGATTATTGCCAAGAAGCTGATCTGACCGCCCCATTACTGCCTGAATAAAAAGCCTGGTTTGGTTGAACTAAAGAAACCTGATATTCTGCCGATAGTGTCTTCTTTCACTGTGTCACTGTCACATTGCTGCCTTTTCATTACTGATCAATTGATGGTTTGTTGTCATTTGACAACAGAAGAAACCTGACAATTAACGAAGTATTGAAAATCTCGTGCAGAAATCTCAATATCAAAAATAAACACTACGGCCACAATCTAAATGAAAATACGAGCCTCTTCAACAAGTTAACTGGGCAAATTTGGAGCTGAAGCCTGATGCCAACCTAGGGTGATATTTCTGCAAACTTTTACCTTGCCTGTGAATAGGAGGCAATATTTACGAGACTCGTCTACTCTAAACATCAATAAACAGTCACTGTGCGCCACTGATTACAAAAAAAGAAAAAACTGTCGGACAATAAAGTTGTCACTGTGATGTGTTTGAAGGAAAATGGATCCCGCTCCTTCTCTTCCCCCCTCAACCGACGGTGTTTTCCGAGAGACCCAGTGCTGTGATACGAGGAGAATTCCAGTCAGGACTTCTATGCCTCCACCATGTTTCCAGTTATAAGTGAAACGTATCCGAGTCCGAGGGCAATGTGATTGTGTTGACAAACAAGTTCCACATTGAAAGTGATGGGCCTCTTATTTCCATCTTCTACAATTTCTTTCCGCTTTCTTGTATTAAACTCGCACTTGAGTGGTCATTGTCAGGCTTTGTATTGGGCACTTGTATGGAAAAAAAAAAGGGTTCACCCATGAAGTATTATTTTACTAGGACTTCCGTTTTCGTTTTTTCTTCTTTCCAACTTTTAAGGTTGAAAAGATAACCAACGTGTGCATACGGGTATTGTGAACGTTAAAAATAACCGACAGCATTCTGTCTACAATGTACGTCTGAAGCTCTTTGGTCAACTTATTTCGGAATGCAAACGCAGGACCTTCCGCTCGCATGTAACCACTGTTTACACAGTCGACGCAACAGGATTGGCTGTTCAATGATTGCGTACTGACCTGAACGCCACACTGTTTTTGTTGGGGGGGGGGGGGAAAACAGTGTCTCTGCATAAGATCTGCAGGAACGTCCTGGCAGAGAGGGGATAAATTGATCAGCCCGTCTCACAGATGGATCGAACACGTTCACAGGATCTTCATTAATACAGGAGGTTTCATTTGTGGAAGATAGGGGGGGACGGGAAGGGGATGACATCCCGTGCCCGGGTGTGGTTAAGTCAGCTTCAATATATTGATCGCAGGCGGGGAGTAACCGCATTCATTTGATGTATTTTATTCACATGCTTGCTGCTTGTGCGTGGGAATAAGCTACTGTTTTTCAGTGTTGCTTTCCAGATAAAGAGGAGGGATATCTGGAGTGGCATTTGATAAATCCCAGCCGTATATTGCCTATCAAAAAAACAAGAACGACGTCACTTCGGTAAGATAGTACGTCTCTTCAGGAATAGAAAATCCCTCTGACAACCCAAGTCGAAAAACTGACAGTCAAATCATTCATCCCAACTCCCTTGGGTATGTCAAAACTGACGATTGGGATACTGCAATTTAAAAATTTATATGAGAAATGATATCAAGAGACATTGGCTTTAGCAGCTTTCATTTTTAGTTTTTGCTGTGCTTGTTTTTTGTGGGCGTACCATTTTTTTTAAATCAAACTTTCTGTGTTCTGATTCCATCCCTTCACATTTTCTTCAAACACTTTTGCATACACTCTCAGAAAAAAAACCAAAGAATTTTTTAAAAAAGCCGACGATAAACCCAGAAGAAGGAAGAACCGGTAGCTTGTGACTGAAAAAACAGACATTTAACACTGATTGCTTTTTTTTTCTCCCAGCAGTGGAAAAAGAAAGGGGGAAAAAAAAAAGACCAAACAAAAAACAGCATGAAAAAAAATATCCATTTCTCCCTAAAGTATTGTGGTGACAACCTTCTCGTCCTCAAGTTTCTTTCGCCATTTTATGTAAATCAAATGGAAATACGGTGAAAACTGCCCACGGGTACATGTTCCCGTAAACAATAAGGCTGGTAAATGCTTACTTGACATTCCCAGAAAAAAAAAAAAATAAAAAATGACAGCATAGAAATTCAGGTATCATCTCATCGGAGTGCCAGGTCCACAGTTAAAACAACATTTTCAGCCCCGGGCTGTCTAGCTTTTCATGCTATTTTAAACTCCTCATGCGCTCTTGACTGTGTTGAGTTTTCTTTCATCACCAAGACCCGAGCGTGGCTCACCCCACCAGATCTATTGTGCGTCCACCTGTGAATCTTACTATTCACACGCGGGCCAAGATGACACACCGAGATCTTTCCGGGGGTGACTGACCCGTTTTAATGGGAGAGAGGCCCAGGGAAAAAAAAGGCCATGAATCCTTTGGAAGTGGAGCACATCAACGAGATGGAGTCCTGCACTGCTGAAGTGTAATGCCAAAACAAACAATATATACTTTTTATATATTTGATCTTGACTGTCCTGTGCCCAGTCCTTTTTTGGGGGGGGGATACTTGGCATGCTTTTAAAGACAGTCACTATGCATACACCTGTTCACTTTCCATTCAGACTGACATTAGTGGTCTTGGTTGTTGGGTCATGCATAGTCAGAGCCTCCCATGCGTCAGTCTCTACGCACTGAGCCCGTCAATGGGAAATGTGAACAATTCGGCTGACCGGCCAGTCAAAACAATTGTAAGACATTACCGGGAAAACGTTGGAAGGCTCGGCAACGATATCAGAGTCGGGGGGGAGGGGGGGAACGGTATTTCACCCTTCCTTGACTCTTTAAGTGTTAATCTCTCGGACGTGGAACGAGTCATTTTTTTGGGGGGGGGTGAGCTGAACCCAGAGATCCCCTCACCTTGCCGTCTCTTGTCCTCTTCTCCCCGTACTTCTCCATTGCTTCCTCGGCTGTCTTGCATTTCCCTTGGTGTAAGAGCAAGGCGCAAATCATCACACCCGTTCTCCCCTTCAATTGGACCGAGGAATTAAACAAAATATAGAAGGCAAAATCAACACTATGCAATGAGAACAGTTACAAAGCTTGGACCTATTCAAAGTGCAAGGAACTGCTAACAGCATGTACGTCCCAAGCATCTTTTTCTCCAAACGTTGAAGCCGCAGATCAATTGGGCAATTTTTACAACTAAACATGCATGCTTGAGACAACAAGGTTTATATTCAGCATTGGAACTGAAGTGTTCACATCTGTGGTGAATTCACTTGCGGCTCTTCTGAACAAATACAATGTAGAAAAGACTGTTTAACATGAATGTAAAGTACAGTGCAATTGAGAGGTGACCTCAACAGTGGGAAAATCTTTCACACTTTTTCATTTTGTTTTCACATTATTTTCGGACATCTTTTGAATCATTTTCACACACAAATTTTTCGCATGGCATTCACAATATTTTCACACTGTTTTCACATATTTTTCATACCAGATTCACAATGAATTTGCAGAGGAGAAAGTAGCAGTCAAAATAAAAAAATCTGGCTGCGAATTCTTTCCCTCTTTTGTCGCAGTCGTTTTTCTAGGGTTAAGCTTCCATTGCCCTGTACTGTATGTGTACCACTAGAAACGTGCTACGTACGCGGTATCAACTCATGTTGGAATGTATGGTCTCAGATTGTGCACCAGGCACCTGCATGAGCTCAGATGAAAACTTCTCACCAGCCTAACCTCTCTTTTGCCAGTGAGGGCACACTTCAGCTCAGGGTGGATAGGGATGGGCAAACCTGCACTGATATCATTGATGCCATACCACCCTCTCAACCTGATGAGCCTCGAGCTGGACCAAGAAGGGGGCACCATTGTCTCAGTGCTGGAGGCTCATTGGGGCGGAACTGAACTTGACTGGTCCATGAACGACTATGAAACGAACCCGTCACGGTCGCAGCGCTACCAACCAAATGAACACTCCTGACCAATATGGGTCTTTTTAACCAATGAGGGAGGTGCTTCTGCTCGAGGCGGACTGTCTGAGAGTTTTGGCCAGGACTGGCCCGGAGTTTTGAGAAGATGGGACTTCTACCTTTCCGGCTTTGCAGTGGATGACCGCAACGTTCTCCTTGCCTTCCTTAAGCCACTTCTCCACGTCGTCACAGAACGGCTGGATGAGCTCAATCTTTGGCGGGTTGTGGTCGTCAAACGGGTAGTGGGCTACCCTGTTGTAAAATTTGGATGTGTCATAGTTGCGCTCTGAACATCTGTGGGAAAGAAACGACGACAATACAAAAGAATGGTTAGCACACCTGCCAATATAGACACGTCAGAAATCAGAACAACCATTTTATGGGTTCACGGCAAAACAAACAGCTGCGTGAGATGTGCCATCGGCATTATACATGTACATGTACTCACATGTATGTATGCATAGTAAATGCCATTTTGATAGTGTCCCCTCTTTTTTCTACAAACAATGCCCTCTTCTGCTGGGACTTTTTTTTTCCATTTTATGGATATCAAAAAAATGCTGATTTTTGTGGTCTGAAAATTTATATATCGGGACAGTTCAGATTAAATGAGAACAGTTGGCAGGTATGGGTAATAATGCGTGTTTTTCAAACTCGACCCTAGGTTGTCATGAATGTGCATTTCACAGAACTGTTTCTCATTACTAGGTTAAAGGACTATTCAACATCTACAAGCACACCGGCAAGTATAGGAGATAATCCAGCAGCACCGTGGCAGCTTGTTTTAGTATCGTTCTCGCATGCAACTTTTATGCCACCCCGTGTGCCAGCCTATCAGAGACAGCTCTAGAAACTGCGATAATTACATGTATCTTGGTCACATAAGAGACTCATGTTGTTTCTGACTGGTTGACAGATGTCATCCTGCACTACTGCCCTACGAACCCTCTGGCCACCACTAGAGACACGGTTTGCAGCAGAGTCTGACTTGGAAAGGTGATATCTTGTCAATTTTAAGTCCCCTGATTACATTCAGAAGACCATAATTTGCACTCTTCTTTAAAAAAAGAGCGTTTATACGGACATGTGCTCACCCCCCCTGAGGTTTTCAATATTAGCTGTTCCTACTATAAGCCCACTGATCTACATGTACAGCCAAACTCTGTATAGCCAACAGGAAATGTCATGAATAATTAATTTCACAATTTGTGAACAGACCTTTTAGATAAAGGTAAGAAAACAGGAAATGATATCATGAATAATTACCTTAATTTCACAATTTGTGAACACACCTTTCGGATAATGGTAAGAAACCACGAAAAAGTAGCCACTAGCATCTTCGTGTCAATTCCTCCACATGCACGTACCTGTACATGTGCATGTACATGTAAGCACAGTCAAGGAGCCGTGTGTACATGTACATGTACCGTATCGCAAACAAGATGTGGCCATTGGCAATGAGCAGTCAGTTCACAAGTCAAATTTATTCAAATGTGGAGGATTCACCCCCCCCTCCCAAAATGAACTTTTCGAACAGGAGAATTCAGGACAAAGCACTTAAAAAATGCCACCTGCATTGGATGTTAGGCTCGCAAATTTCATGATTTCTTCCATCAATTTAATCATGTCCTTTTGGACTGGTTACAAGCACCTGGAACTGAATGCTAATGCTAATTTTTCATGATTTGAATCAAGACTCATCACAGAAACAAGTGGCCTGTCTTGAGAAGGTCAAAGGGAAAGACTTGTTTTTGCTGTAGTGTCTTTCCCGTCCATGCCATAGCTACACATGCATGTGCATGTACTAGTGCCTTTCAACTAAGTACACGTACGGTGCGTGTACCCACAGGCAATATCTGTGTCATTTTAAACCAAAAAAGGTCATGTGCGTGGGATGTTCAAGATTTCTGGTTGAAAATCTCTGCCATTCTCTTGCCGCGTTCTGGAAGGAAAGCCTTGTGTTTTTCTCCACAAAGCAGTTTCCAATATATATACGGAGGTGAATAATCGACACATTGATCGATTATTCCAGTAACTGGATAATGCTAGCGAGGCTCTTGGCATTCTATTGTAAATGTCATGTGCCACCTTTGTGCGCGCACCACTGCTTCAGTGGATCGTGGAAAGGTGCCTCGCACGTGAACAACCTGAGATGCACAGGTATTTCATTATGATAATTCCATAAAGCGCCTTATTCTGCCCCACAGATCTTCCAAAGTCATCGCGATCTGCGCATGAATAATGCCCCCCGTTTGCTGATTTCTGCAAAGATGCCCCACAGCACACAGAGAGACCACTGCATCTGCACGCACAATGTTACTTGTGCATGTTCTTTGAAATGTTGAAGGTTTTTGGTGTGTGGCATTTGCGGGTGACATTGAATGGATCCGAGCATGTCAAATGCCGAAACAGACAAAAGTGTAATCCATCACAGGAGCCTTTTTCCTTCAAACTGTGTCTTCTTCACTCATTTACTATAGTACATGTATATCATGTTCAGATTAGGATCACTAATGCAAAATAAAAATCCGATTTCTTACATCTAAATTGACTTCAGTTACTGGTGTTCCTCAATGCACAGCCCAAAAATGCCCAAACTATATGTACATAAACAAGATCGTGGAATGTCCAACTGAGAAGGTTCTCAAAAATCCACTGAAATTGGGAGTGTTACAAAATGACGCTTGCTTCCACATTGCAAACATGCACGTGGATAGCATACTGTACATCACACCACCCGACAAAATTATAAATGTGGAACTGGAAGTAAGCGTGACCGAGCACCATGAGCTTGTTTAACCTGCGATAACCTTTAGAAATGTAGGCCTGCATTTGCAGGGTCGAGTTGGAGCTTCCTGGAGAGTGTGTGTCTCTCCACGCACGCACGTCCATGTACAAGTACATGTACCGTATGTGCACATGAGCACCACTCACAGGCTTCACTGTACATGTACAGTACTGGTACAATGTAAATCAGCCTGCCAGGATGCTCTTCCATTAAGCAAACATTTGCCCATATTTTTGTCTGCGACAAAGCTGTACAAATTTACTTAGTTTTGTCTCTTTATTTCTCTCGACTTGCTTGAAAGTGGCCATATGCCTCTGACCCCGATCTGACAGATCTATGTCCAATGAATTGCAAATGATGGATTTGAAAAAAAAATAAGTAAGGTAAATCGACAGAATCCTTCTAATGAACTTGGGTGCCGACAATTTTTAAATTTGCTTGTGTTTATTTGAATGTTGCGGAAAAGAACACACACAGGCGATTGTGTAAGTTTGGCTGTTCCAATACTTTTCCTATTTGTGACCTGTCGTCACTAAATGTGCTGAAAGTCAGAATTTTCAAAAACTGAGATATTGGCATTTTTTAATTCAGCATAAAGACAGCTTTCCAAAAGTATGTACACAGAACACTTAGGGTAGAAGTATAAGGTGACAATGTCACATTATTCTGGCAGCTTTGCGTCTTTGTTCCAGACATTGTTTCAACATTTCAGACCAGGCACGAATAATACCATCGTCAAAATTGCTGAGAAAATGACATTCTTAAACATGTGCTTCTGCGAAATATTTGGAATTAAATAGGAGACGGTTTACTCTCTACACCCAAAAATTGACCTCCACTTCGATAATACTTTGAACCCTGAAAATACGAAAGAGTGGGATTCGACTTTACTCTCACTTTGTCGTGACAGGTCACATTTATCACTGACAAATCAGTGTTTTAACCAGTTAATGTTGGATTTTCTTACCCGAAAAAGCTGCTGGGGGTGTTTTTTTTTTTTACTACAAATTCTGCAACCTTGCAATTGTGCCTTGACCCAACCAAGCACGACACATTAATGCGTCAACTGCTGAAATGAAATAAGAATTCTTCAACAAGTGTAAACGTCCTCCCTGGAACAATTAAGGAAAAGTTGGTGTGTTTACATGTCACCCAGCGTCAAGTGGTTTGGTTAAACTGGCAGTTATGAATCAAATGACAGATTTCAGCATGTTGGTCCTGTCAAGCATCTACTGATTGATATCCAGAATTCACCCATGTGTTCACATCCATTTCAAATACCGGTATAAGGAAATTCAAATCTCAGGCCATGTTTGAAAAAAATGTTTACATATGCTTAATATTTCATATTGAACACATTTAAACAATCTTTTACAAAAACTGCTGCCAACTCCTTGCTGGCTACAGTGACCTACATGTACATGTAAACCACAAATCAAAAAGAAGGAGGGGTCTGACGTTTCGATCCTGGCAGCTGCCAGGATCAGAACGTTGGGATTCTGCTGGGATAGAAATGTCAGGCCCCTCTGTCCTGATTTCACATAAAATATTTAAATTGAACAATTCTTTCTATTGTTTCTATCCTTAAATCAAATGCGTGAATTGTAGCATCAAATGCGTGAGAAATTCGTCTGTGGTTTGAATTTCCCTTCTAAAACATGACACTTTACTCTTCAGCCTTGAATATTACTAGAGTATTAACAACCCCCCCCCCAATTTTATTTTGCTAGGAACCTCTGCAGCGCCATATGCAATTTTCATCAAGTAAACCACAACCCTATCGGTATTACTCCAACGCTAATATTCACATGTGTCACGCCCCTGATGTCAGATCAAGCGCATGGTGTCCGTCTGTCAATCCACTAAACTAAATACCGGTACAAAAGTGCCCTGTATATACAATGTACTTAAACAATCACTCTAAAATAACACTGAGACGTTTCCCTCACAACAACGGGGAAGAAATTAAATTGTCGGGTAAACAGTGGAGATGGCTTGAGTAAATTGTCCTGAGGTTGTGTCCCTTTCCGTGACGCTTTTTACATCCACAATAAAAGTAAACATTCAGCACTGGCCTGGCCATTCATGATAAAAATAAAGACTAAAAATAGTGCTATTTTCAGTTTCCTTTTTCTCGTCTGAAGGAACAAGTGTAATGAATAGACATGCAGATTTATATACATTGAGGATTTCTACAATTATGATGAAGTCCACCTTTTTTCCTCAAGCACTGTCTTTCAGGCACCCACAGATTCAAAAGCTTTCAATTATTTTTCCAGTACCGGTAGATTAATTGTCCCC